CAAAGGTATCCCTTTGTTTGACACCCAAACCGTATGCTCTTCAACTAGTAGCTGCATCCTTGTTCCACCATCACATGGAACATCAGTTCCATCACCTTGGAACAAGGCCCTCCTTGAAATTCTTCAAGGTCTTCATATAACACTAATCCGTGATTATGTGATTCTTACCATCCTGAACGAAGAACGTCTTCATGAGTGGACTTGAGAGGACTCAAGTATCTGTGACATCTTCAATAGTTTATGTTGAATTCTTGAATACAATGGCCTTCAATCCACAAGAGGGGAAACACATCAGAGCTTGAGTTTTGCCAGGTATTACACAGCGGAAGAACATAATACAACCCAATCTTTGCACACACACTCCACCAGACTAGCCTTCAGAAATAGACCAAGTTTGATTATGGTTCAAACCTAGCATGACTACTACACACAACTTCAGGCGTACACACATCCTAGGTTTGAAAATAAATCAAATCTAGAGCAGCTACCACACAACCAGGCCAAATGCCAATCACACAATTCCTGTCAAGAATAGTCCATCCTCCCACTTCAAGGGACCATTCAGGGAAATAGCAAACCATTCCAGGTTACAATCTTCAGTACTAAAATTGACCTTGCAGATACCAGAAAGTATCACCCATGGATCTCATCCAGAAACAGAACAGGATGCCTGCTCTGATACCAATTGAAATTCTGGTGTATGCCAGTCTTCAGATGTTATACTCAATGTCTAAACATCTAATATGACATAATAAATACACTGCAAGGTAGATACCCAATTTTTATGATTCAGTACTGAAGAGTCACAGAAGCACAGTTTAACCAAGCTGTGTCAGATCTACTTTGAAGATGCAGAGGATAGAACACCGATGTGCCTAGTTTTGTTCATCTGTTGCACATGATCAGCAGAGAGCAAACAGCCTTTGCAGTTCTATTTCTTCTGCACAGATATCGGCATGATGTCTTAACATGTTCAAAGACATCATCTGTTACAACATTACAGTTTTACCTTGATATATAACAGACAGAATTATAAAGTGTTGAAGGTAAAAACACAAATCAGTTGTTGACCCAGTTCGGTGAAACACACCTACTCTGGGGGCATACCAAGCCAGGAAGAAGATCCACTATCAGCAATATTAATTCAGGACTAAACTTCACAAGTTCCCATCCTTCACTTAATCATCTACCCAGTGCAACCTATACCTAGGAACTCCTAGATAGAAACCCACCAGTTTCCATTCCTATTGTCGCAACAACAGAAGTCTTACTCCTACTCAAGAAGCAGTGCCCTCCCACTTGGTTTCCTACATTACAATGAATGTTAAGTAATGTAAAAATACTTAGACTTGCTTCACAGCTTCATCCAAGAACACTCAAACTCTTACCTACAGGTTTCGAGTTACATACATGGTAACCTTGCCACAGACCGACAGGTTTACCTAACAAAAACATCCCTAATGTTACATTGTGTGTGTCTCCCAAACCCTAGGTTACAATCTGCTATTTATAACCTATTACCTAACTCAGCAAGTTTTTCTCCTTGCTGTTACAACTCAGCAGCAAACTTCTCCTATAATCAAGGTCTTCAATCTTCTAGTTCCTAAAATACCTCCATATTTAGAAACAGTATTTTCTTCAAATATTCTGATTGATTCTTGATTGATCTTCAGATTCTCCACTAGAAACGCCACAAATATTCTCAGAGTATTTAAGTACCAGAACTGTAACTGAATTATCAATTCTGTTGACGTGATGTCAAGTCGGATGTCATGACATTACATCTAACATGTTTTCCTAGATGTTGAACTTTTTCAACACAACAAATAACCTCTTTCATAATTTAGATCACTTAGAATAGTTAGGTTATAAGTCACAGCTGTTACAAACATTCAACATATAACATAGTTACTTAATCAGTACTTAGTTTCAGGCGCGATGTCACATGCTGATGTTGTAACATCTTACATAACATGTTGGTCCAGATGTTGAACTTCTTCAACACCACATATTAAAACAACAGAGGGGATCTGGGTAATCTTGCTTTCTTATTTGTTTTACAAATGAAGCCAACTCTCCAGCCAGGGCACTTACAGTCAGGAAATTGAAAGTAAAGTAGGAAAAAGGGTGATTTGTTATGCAGGGAAGGAGATGGGAGCCGGTTTATGAGGTAGGTAGCAGTGAGGAAAGCATGGTCCCATAATTTTATGGGTAGGTTAGCTTGAGCAAGAAGGGTGAGACCTGTCTCCACATGTCTGTGTTTACGTTCCACAGACCCATTTTGATGATGAGTATGTGGACATGTGACTCTGTGTTATGCCATGCATGGTTAGAAAATGTATCAATGGTTTGAATTCACCTCCACCATCTATTTGCACAGACTTGATTTTGAGATTGAGTTGTAGCTCAACAAGAGCTTTAAACTGAACAAATGTGGCAAGTGTGTCAGATTTTAGTTTAAGAGGATAAATTCAGGAATAACGGCTATGAGCATCAATAAAGGTGAGGAAATATGCATGGCCAGAGATGGAGGGAACTGGTGATGGCCCCCACAAGTCACAAAACACAAGTTCAAGGGGTTTGGAGTAAACAATTTTAGATGAGGTAGATGGTAACCTATGTACCTTACCCATGCAACAGGCATTACAAAAGTCAGAAAATTGTTTATTAGGAATTGAAATATTACAAAGTTTGAGAACTTGTTTTAGAACCTCATGATGAGGGCAACCCAACTTGTGGTGCCACAACTTGTACAAGCTAGAAACAAAATCTAAGTTCCTATTATTACAACTGAAATTGAACACATAGCCAGATTCCAAAGAAAGAGGTTGAGAGCTAGATGATTTGCAAACAACACTGAGGACTTGAGAGGGAGCAGGAGGAGGAGTGCAGTCAAACTTATATAGACCATCACTCCCAAGGGAACCACTCAAAAGCACTTTAGAAGTACCCCGACATTTCACAAAACAGGCATTAACATGGAACTCAAAGAATACAACATTATCTTTAGCAAACTGACTCACACTTAGCAGATTTTTAGTAATGGATGGAACCAGAAGAAGATTATTCAATTTAAAAGAAGTGTTGGGGCATAGATTTGAAGGAAAAATCATAGAACCAAGAGAGGTGATGGACAAACCTTGGCCATTGCTAATGTGAACCTGATTATTACTAGGCAGAGATACAGTATCAGTGAGATTTGTGGCATCTGGAGTCACATGATGTGAAGCTCCTGGGTCAGGATACCACGTCTGGTTGTAGAATGAAGAACAATCAGTGCCAGCAATCAGTGCCTGAGGCCTGGCACCAGAGTACTGAGATGCCATGATTGGAGCCATAGGTCAAGCTTGGTTCACATTTGAAGGACTCGGAGCCATAAGTCCAGGTTGAGTCCACACATTTGGTTGACCAAAGCCAAAATTTCCAAATGAGGCAGGAGCACCATAAGGGGGATAAACACCATAAGAGTCTTGAGAGTGTCTATAATAGTAGTAGTTAGCATCATGACCAGTTTTGTAGCATATCTGACATTGCATAGAGATCCTGTAGCCATTGCGGCCACCATCTCCTCTGAACCTTCCACCTCTATTGCTTTTGCCACGAGAGTAGCTACCACGACCATGGCTTTGGAAATTTCCACCACTAGAGTCAGTGATATCAGGGTTTTGAGGGTTTTGAGGACTGAGATTGGAATTTTGCAAATTACCTTGAGTAAGGTTCACATAAGCAGTCTCAACAACTTCTTTCTTGGATTTCTCCACTCTAGCTTCTTGAGTGAGGAGAAGCGATTCCAACTCATCAAGAATCAATGGTAACGCCTCAAGAATCAATTCAATTTGGTCACGATGAAGGACCGGATCACCAATTGACATTAACATATCTACGATAGTGCGAACGCGAGCAAGAAATTCAGAGATGGTTTTAGTACCTTTGGAGAGGGAGCGAAGCTCCGATCTGAGTTGACGAGACCGAGTCTTCATTTGCGTATGGCAAAACGCATGAATTTCTTCCCAAACTTGCCATGAATGGCGAAGAAGAACGAAGCGAGAGAGGAGCGAATTGAAAATCGTGGATAGCAACCACGTACACAGCAGCGCATCCTGTTCTTCCAACGCGGCGTAGCTAGGGTTCTCACTTCCGGCGTCGCGATCGGCAACAGTGAGGTATCGTTCCGGTACTATCGTTCCGATACTGAGGTGATACGACAAATCACACCATTTTTGTGCCGCGAAGAACTCCTTCGACTTGTTGTTTCCACTGTCGATAGTTGTTCTCATCGAGTTTGAATGAGATCTTTTGTTTGAAGGTGGAGTTTGCAGCAGCGGAGTTGTCACCGCTTGCAGTGGTAGACGGCGACGGAGAAGTCATGCGCGCCGAAGATCAGCAATAAGCTCTGGATACCATGTTAAAAGACCAAAGAAGAGAGAGAGGGTATAGAGAACGAGAAGATAGAGAGAAATTGTATAACAAAATTTGTAATTTCTCAACTCATTAAGTTACAATAGGTCCTTTATATAGAAAGGATAAGGGATAGAAATGAAATTAAACACTATCTAATTCCCTTTTACTTGACTATTACAACATTACCCTTATATCTCTAATAGGTGTCACATACTTGGTGTCTATTAGTAATCCCTCTTATACCTATTCTAAAAAATATCTTCCACCTAGGTGGCATGTGGCAGAATTTCACACATCTACTTCCTGCCATTTTTCCTCGTATCCATGCAATCTTGCATGGGATCTTAGGCAGTTTTTTATAAAGAGGGAAAGAAAATTAAAGTGGGATAACAGCTGTTTAGATTTGGGCACTTTGTACAATGACCGAGGCCTGGTGTAAGTTATTCTGTGGTGATTTCAATAATGGGTTCTCGACTTATATATTTTGGTTTGCAAATCTTTATTTGATCTTTTCCTTTTTCTCTACTATTCATCTTTGTATTATGGATTTTTAAAAATGTTTATTTTATTCCATTCCATTTCATCATTTCTTGCTGCAGTTACTTCGTCTAAGGAGGCCTTTTGTTGCACACATAACTGATGCTATGGGGAATGAGCTCTTTAGGGTGAGAAAAATATATTTTCTGTACTGCTTTTTTAGTACACAGAAATTTATCAGGATTCACACTAGTGTCTTAAGTAGAACATTTGTCTTTAGTTAATTTCTCGTTTAGCTTGAGCTAAGAATATTCTTTTCTATTGTTAGGTCCGTAGACCCTTTTGGTGGATAACAAGCTCAATTTATGCGGAAATTGATGGTAAGGTATGCCATTTTTGTTAACTACTGTACACTGTTGCTGCATCATTAAGTTATTTATGAGCAATTTGGCTGTTAATTATGTCAAATCCTCTCTTCAGGAAATTGGAGTAGTTCACAGGAGGTGGCATCTCTGGAGGAGACTCTATGATTTGTACCTTGGGTAATATCAAAATAACATGTTTTGAGTTGTAGCTATTTTAATTAATTATAGATAGATATAATATGTAATAATTATAGAGACTAAACGAAAATAAAAGTATGTTATAGGAACTGAAACAAAAAAGTAAGAAAAAAATGAAAATAAAAGAGTCAACTAGAAACCAAAAAAGGCCTAGAGATGAAAATGAAAAAAATGAATATATTACAGTGAACAAAAACATATTTAAGCTATTAATTGCAAAAATCATAACATACTCTGTTGCCCTTTTTTGTCCTAGAATTAAATATTTTTTGTTTGTGTTCTGTTGATATATATATATATATATATATATATATATATATATATATATATATATATATATATATATATATATATATATATATATATATATATATAGAGTGTTATATCATATCATTAGTTGTAATCTCTCTATATATAATAAAGTCTCTGTAGTGCTTTTCAAAACACACGGTTTAACTTAAATGTCTTAGTCTCTCCTAATTCAATATGGTATCAGAGCCTCATCTAAGATTCATTGGGTCACCCACCATTTAGTTCTACGCTTCAGCCCTAATTCTTGGTGTGAGAGGGGGTGTTAAGAGTCTCACATCAGACAATATATGGCCTGAACATGAGTTTATAAGTGGGAGTAATCCTCACCTTACAAGTCGGTTTTGTAGGGTTGAGTTAGGTCTAACTCACACATTCTAAGATGGTATCAGAGTCTACTAAGAGGCAATTCTTCGCCGTGTTTTATCCGGTTGACCCACTGTCTTTCGGTGACAAATTCTTTTTTTTTGCAAACCGTGTCATCACTCCGGTTTGCCTCCCACTTTCTAAAATTCTTCAGCAACCACCGAACTGTTGCCGCCATCCGCCGCTACTAATTTCGGCGACCTTCCGGCAGACTAACCCTACCGGCAAAAGCGTCTCCTTTGATCCGGCTGATTCCGACGAATTTAACACCACCGCACTCGCCACCGTGCTACTTTTTCAAATTCGATACTCATGGCTACTCCTTAGAACTTTACGCCAAACTACGATGATTTCCTCAAGTGGTATCAGAATTATCAGAACTCAGATTCTACTGCTTCGGTTGCACACACTGGTAAAACTCATCTGTTTGCTTCTCTCAATCATCTTCTCTTGGACCTTGGGTCCTTGATTCTGGTGCGTCTGATTATGTTACTGATAATATAAAAAAATTCTCTTCCTTCTCTACCTCTGGTTTCTTACCTACAATAACTTCTGCCAATGGTTCTCAAACCCGATCTGAAGGAATTGGCACTGTTCAAATTCTACCTTCTCTCTCTGTTACTTCTGTTCTCTATGTATCTAATTGTCCATTTAATTTATTTTTAGTCAGTCGTTCTCTTGATTGTATTGTCACCTTCACTAATGTCATCCTACAGGATCGGAGTTCGGGACAGACAATTGGCGTCTGATGTGAGTCTCAAGGTTTTTATTATCTCTCAGTGTCATCTCAGACATGCTCAGTCAAATATTCTCCACTCACAATCTATGCTCTGTTAGGTCATTCTAGTCTTTCCAAATTATAGAAGTTGGTGCCAAGTTTATCGAAAATATCTAATTTACACTGTGAGTCGTGTCAGTTAGGAAAACATACTCGTAGCTAATTTCCCAATTGAGTCAATAAACGAGTTTCGTCCCCTTTTGCTTTAGTTCATTCCGATGTTTGGGGTCCCTCACGTACTATCTCTACTCTTGAGTCTAGGTATTTTGTCACCTTTATTGATGATTTTTCACGTTGCACATGGTCATTTTTAATGAAAAACAGATCAGAATTATTTTCTATTTTTTAAAATTTTTATAAAGAAATAAAAACTCAGTTTGGTGTGTCTATTCGTACCTTAAGAAGTGATAATGCTTGTGAATATGTATCCCAACAATTTCAAAATTTTATGTCCAGTAATGGTATTCTCCACCAAACATCTTGTCCTCATATACCTCAACAAAATGGGGTAACCGAACGCAAAAATCGGCATCTTGTAGAAACCACTTAGACCCTATTTCTCCATGGTAATGTTCCACTTCGGTTTTGGGGAGACGCTGTGCTAACGGCATGTTACCTTATAAATCGCATGTCATCATCTGTCCTTAACAATAAAATCCCTCATTCAATCCTTTTTTCCCATTCTCCCCTTCACCCAATTCCTCCCTGAGTCTTCAGGTCTACATGTTTTGTACACAATCTCTCTTTTGGTCTTGATAAACTATCAGCTCGATCATTAAAGTGTGTTTTTCTTGGTTATCATCGATTCTAAAAAGGTTATCGTTGCTATTCACATACCCTACAACGATATCTCATGTCGGTCGATGTCACCTTCTTCGAGTCTGTTCCATATTTGAGTCCAGCCAAGTAACTCTGAAACCTTTTCAGGAGAGTACTCTCACACCTCTTCTGAAAGTCTCATATGTCATTATCCACCATCATTCTAGGGAACCTGACCCACTAGATAACCCTACGGTTAATCCTCCGACTTCTCGTCCACTTCAAACATATCAACGTCGTCAACCAACGTTTGTCGTACTTGTCCCTGAGGTCGTACCTGTCCCTGAGATCGTACATGTCCCTGAGGTCATTGTAGACTCTCCTCCGACGCTCTCGCCATCACCGAATCCGATCCTGCAACCTGATTCCGATCTTCTGATTGCCCTTCGAAAAAGTATACGTCAAACACGAAATCCTTCTCCACATTATATTGATTTATGTTATCATCGTCTTTCCCCTTTGCAGTATACTTGTTTGTCTTCTTTGTCTTCTGTTTCTATTCCTAACACTCCAGGTGAAGCATTATCTCACCCTGAGTGGAGGCAAACAATGATTGATGAAATGTGTGCTCTTCAAAGCAGTGGTACCTGGGAACTGGTTCCTCTACTCTCTGGGAAATCTTTAGTAGGTTGTTGTTGGCTTTATATAGTGAAAGTTCGTCCAGATGATAAGATTTATCGATTTAAAGCTCGCTTGGTAGCCAAAGGATATACTCAGATTTTTGGATTGGATTATAGTGATACCTTCTCATCTGTAGTCAAGATGGCATCTGTTAGACTTATTCTAGCCATTGCAGCCATTCGACATTGGCCTCTTCATCAACTTGACATCAAAAATACATTTTTACACGGTGATCTTGAAGAGGAAGTATATATGGGGCAACCACCTGGGTTTGTTGTCCAGGGGGAGTCATCGAATATGGTTTGTAGGTTACACAAGTCTCTTTATGGTCTTAAACAATCTCCGAGAGCTTGGTTTGGCAGATTCAACAGTGTAGTACAATAATTTGGTATGGTCCGTAGTGAAGCTAATCATTTCGTCTTTTATCGTCACTCAGCCCAAGGGTGTATTTATCTTATTGTATATGTACATGATATTGTCATAACTGATAGTGATGAGTAGGGAATACTCCAGTTGAAACAACATCTCTCGAATCAATTTCAGACAAAAGAACTTGGTAAACTCCGATATTTCTTGGGTATTGAGGTAGTCCAATCTAAAGATGGTTTGGTGATTTCTCAGCGGAAATATGCTATGGATATTTTGGAAGAAACATGTTTGTTGAACGTTAAACCAGCTGATACTCCTATGGATCCAAGTGTCAAACTACTACCCAATCAGGGGGAGTCTCTATTAGGCTCGGGAAGGTATAGAAGATTGGTTGGAAAGTTGAATTATCTCACAGTCACTCGTCTAGACATTTCTTTTGCAGTCAGTGTGGTAAGTCAGTTCCTAAATTCTCCTTGTCAGAAACACATGGATGCTGTTATCCGGATTCTGAGATACATCAAATGAGCTCTAGGAAAAGATTTAGTGTATGAAGATAGATGACATACTCAGATAGTTAGATACTCCGATGCTGATTGGGCAGGATCACCAATTGATAGACGATCCACCTCTGGGTATTGTGTACTTGTTGGAGGAAACCTAGTAGAGTATAGAGCCATGGCGATGGCAACATGTGAACTTGTTTGGTTAAAACAGTTGCTCAAGAAACTTAAAATTGAAGAAGCAAGACCAATGACACTTATTTGTGATAATCAAGCTGCATCGCACACTGCTTCAAATTCGGTCTTCCATGAGCGGACTAAACATATTGAGATTGACTGTCACTTAGTCAGAGAGAAGATCGAGTATGGCGACATCACCACAAACTTTGTCAACTCGAATGATCAATTGGCAGATGTGTTTACAAAATCTCTGCGAAGTCCCAGAACTAATTATATATGCTCTTAGTCTCTCCTAATTTAATATGTTCAAACCAAGACATTATGGTGTTGTCTTTGCCACATTAAAACTGTTACAGTTGTGCGATAATTACTCTTTTGTGAAAAGCTTAAATAAGTTTTGCATATTGCATGAAACAAGTCTCATAGAAGAAGATTTGCAGGAATAAGCAATTTGCGGTGGTTGAGAATCCTGGCTTGTGGAATTGGACATTCACCTTGAAAGATATTGATGGTGAGGTGCTTGCTCAAGTAGATCGAGATTGGAGGGGCTTTGGCTTTGAGGTTGAATTTCGCATTCTTTTCTTTTTTCTGTTTAAAGAACTTTTGTTATTGTTTTTTTTGTTCAACATACTTGCTTGATGTTCATTACTGTTATTCCCTTTTGCCATGGTTATTTTTTTTCTAAACATATTACAAATTTTTCTTCTTCTATATTTGTATTGCATTATCAGAATTTCCATTAGTTTTGTTCTACAAAATTAATCCAAACTTGTTAACTTTATCAAATGAACTAGTTATTGAAAGTGTGGATTAAGTACCTTTAATACTTAAATGCCTTCTGGGGGACTGGTCTAATCAACTGTTTTCATTAGGATTCAAGGTTCGGTTTACATTGTTTCAGATAGGTATGTGCTGCTCTTAAGATATGGGGGTAAAAAGAGAGAAATTGTAGTCATTCATGCCACTGTCTAAAATATTGTGGCAGCCTTGTTTCATTTTGTTATGTCTGTACAGTTAGTCCCATTCGAACCACCTTGTAGCATATTTGGATGAGTGATGGTAGCATCTGGAATTTTGAAAATGTAAATATTTATTTGATGTTGTGAATGTTTGGTGAATTGTTTGCATTTAAGCCATGTCTTGTTACCATAACACAAGCTACAAAATGTCACTGTCACAGTGAAGAAAAATCCTGTTTGATATACTCTCGACAAAAACATCCGCATAATTTAAGATTATATTTTTATTTATTTCTTTAAATGTATTAATGTACTTAACCATCTCTGAATAATTTTACATCTAAAAGTGATTTTTATCAATACTGTCCAAACAATATTCATAATTTAAAAATACTTTTCAAACATGAATTGACATATTCAAAAACACTTTTGACTAAAATCAATTTTGCAAAATTCTGTTCATTCAAAATCAACTTTACAAACTCCAATACAAGTACTAACTTAAACAAATCTGATTAGTTATAGCATCAAGGAGTTAGAATTTGTTTTGGCACATGATTAGTTTGTATGTTTCTTAAACAAGTTCTCCCTGCCATATTTCCCGGTTATGAAGTAAGGATAGCCCCTCTATTAGCTGGTGTACCAGATATTTCTACCTCTTGTTTTTTCTTATTTCTTTAGTGCTACAACTTTAACTCTGTTTCCTATCATATTGCAGTCTTGTCTAACTGTTGTCGCTGAGTCATTTTACTGATCTGAACCGAAGGATTTCATGTTCAATTTTATTGAGATATTTTATCTTGTGTATTGAAGTTCAAGCTTCTTGATATGTGCAGATTCTGACCGATGCTGGTCAGTATGTGATTCGATTTGGAGGCTCTGATTCCAACTCCAAGATTGGTCTTGCTAATGCGGTCAGAATCCCCTATCTTTTTGGAAGAAAGCAAACTCCATTTTTCTTAACTAATTGATAGGTTCTTCTTTCTGCAGATTCAAGACCTTGATGTCGGACGCCCACTGACCCTCGCAGAGAGAGCTGTTGCAGTAGCTCTTGCAATATCACTAGATAATGACTACTTTTCAAGACATGGAGGCTGGTAAGTCATTTGGATCTTTAGCCTGACAGTGTTTTATGTAAATAGTCTTGAGAAACCTTTGACCTAGGACATCATGTACATTCTTTCTTTCCTACTTTTAATCCAATTCTCTAGTCCTGACTTGCAAATAGTCAGAAAACTGGAAATAGTATTGATCTTTTTTTTTCCTTAATTTTTTTTTTTGGGTTGCTAGGGGATTACCCTTCTTTGACGTCGGCGAGTAAATTTGATTTGACAGACAGTATCATCTGGTTATCTGTTGGCATTATAATTACTGAGGCCCAATCTTTACCATGTAGTTTTTAAATTTGTGTTCCAAGCTAACGCCAAAGATGAGTCCATTCATGATATAGGTGGTACTTGGTACTGGGTCTATTCATTCATGTAACAAAATGAGAATTTTAACTCTGATATTTACTTGTCTGTTTATTCCTTTTTTGTTGGATGACAAAGTCATGAGATAAGGCTCCGTTGTTGTTGTTGACAAAGTCATGAGATGATCCTGATTATTGCTCTTAGTTGGTTAAAAGTAGGACTAAAATGCCTTATTAATCCTCTTGTACTTTCAACCCCGTTTTCATTTTGGTCTACAAAATTAACACAGCTTCTCTGACCTTTGACCTTGGAAGGCTGAAACAACAATCATAATTAGGATTTTTTTGGTTTCAAACAATTACTCCCTCCGACTCTTGAAAATAAAGTGTTTCATTATACTATTTTTCTACGATTTTTCTTTCTTTCCGTCTCAAAATAAATGTTTCACTACAATACCAATATAATATTTATTATTTTTTTCCATTATTATATTTTTATTTATTAAATTCCACTTTAATCAAATACTCCATTAAATATAATTAATTAGAGCATTTACATATATTATTATAATCAACATATCTATTTTTTTTAAAAACTGTGCATAGCTAAAAAAAAAATTTATTATGAGACTGAAGGAGTAGGATTTATATATTGCTGACAGAAGAAAGAATTCAGAGTTTTATCCTGATTCTTGTTTTTAGGGATTTGGATTCTTTCATGCCATTCTCATGTTTTCATCATGCTTCAATCTCATCCATCTATTCATCTTTTTTTTTTTCTCTCTCTCACTTGTACTATTATCTCTTATTGTGTTGTAATCAGCCAATATATTAAGAAAATGAGAGAAGGCTGAACAAAAAAAGCATGAGAGAGGATCCAAATTCTGTTTTTAAATCTATTATTTCATTTCTCAAAAAACTGTTAAAAAATAATATTTATTCCTAAAAGATATCACAACCATTATCCTTTTAATTGCCTTGCATTTTCTTTCTCTAAACCATGTTTATGCATATTCTATAGATCTTTCTCACCTAAAGCTCAATTTGGATTTCATGAGTTTTTTTCAAAAGAAAAAAAACGAGGGAGTGATGAACAATGAATAGAAGAACTAGGTTACAAACCTACGAGACAAGACTCCGTACAGTAGATTAATTATACACAAACCAAATCTAAACTCAAATGAGGCTGAAGTTGATGAAGTGAGTCTTTAGTTCGTGAGACCTTAGTTTTAGGTTCGTGAGACTTTAGCCTTCATGCGAATGAGATTGAATTCAAAATTTTAGCCTTCGTGCGAATGAGATTGAATTCAAAATGAACTTCAAATTAAGCTTTGTTGGTACGATTTGATTATTATTGAATGCTCATGAGTCAGATTGATTTATTCATCACAAGTGCAACAAGAACAACAATGTCTTTACTCAATTTACAATAGCATAATTTGCAATGGGGATTCTTCTTATAGTGCAAGTTGCCGAAAGTTTAGAGAAAACACAAATTCAAAATCCTAGTGCAACTAGGGTTTTGAGAATACGTGAATGAGTGATTGTCGCTTTAGTATAAGGATTCTATCTATAAAATCATTTATACACACCATAGTTTACAACACCGAAATATAAATGAATTTTATCAATTTATTTAATATCTTGTTTATTCGTCTTTATGTGTGTGATTCTTTAGATTCTTATAATGTTGGACAACAATATAAAGTCACTTATTTAATGTTATGATTAGAAAGCGATGTCATGTGACCATAGTTTTATGCTACAATGATTATGTAAATATTATTTTTTTGTCCTTATATCTATATTGATCAGAAACCATAGTTTGTGTCACTCTTTTATAGTTCAATATTAATTTTATTAATATCCGAATATATTTAGTAACAATAAACAAGTCAAATGTTGTTTTTGATTTAAAATTAGTTTTGAAAAATATGCCACTAAAAAGATTATTTGGTCAAATTGCGGACTAGGTTAGTCTCTTTAAGACGTTTACATTACTGTTAAAATTGTGTCAGACAGATGATCAACCACGATGTCTCAAAGATAAAAACAACCTAATTTGAATTGTTTCTACAACTAATGCACAATAGATAACCAATAGAACAAAAAGAAGAGAGAGAAAAAAATAAGAAAAAATTTAATGAAGAGAATGGAGAGATTTCAGGTTTACGGAAATCTGGAGTGAAAATAATGAGATGTGGAGACCTCTATTTATATTTGAAGTCTGAAACAAAACAAAAAAGAGGAAAAAAAGGGGGTGAAGGGTTCTTCTCATTATCCGGTGAATCAGTTTTAAAAATTATGATTCGTGGAAGCCAGATTGTTGAATGTTTGGTCAGACGCATACAAAATGTGTGTGAGATTAATGAAATGAATAAGAACAACACATTTACCAAAAAAAAATAGTTTTTCAATTTCGGGTACTAAAAGAAACTAATGCATCACCTAAGTCTGACTTGACCGGTCCAAATTGAGTCGGTCGGTCAAACTGACGACAATGGCTAAGGGCGTGCGTATGGCGTACATGGGTGATGTGTTGTCTTCTGTTTATCAAATTATTTATTTGGGTTTGAAGCATGTATTTCTGGTCAGTGTTGATGAAGTTTGAAGAAATTCCATATTTCATGTGGTACATGGATCCAAGATTGATCTTGGCCCAAATCCTCATACATGGCTTGAAATTTGAGATACTTTAGCTGATTTCTTCGGTGTAGATAGTGGCAACAACATTTTTCATCTTCTTTCCTGTTGAGGGCATATTGCATCATTGTTTTTTAATACCATTATGATTCAATAAGTTGGTGATAGATTCTTCTGAAATTAAATTTTTTTCCCTTGAACTGACGAAGAGATTTCAAGAGATGTAGTTGTTGTGTGTACCCAAAACTCTTTTGTAAGTGCAGGATAGACATGACCTTTCAAGAGTTTGAAGAAATCTTCCCACTCTTTAGTAGCAATATCATCAATGAGATCAAACTCATTTAGCCTTAAACTGTTAAAATTCACAATGGATTCACAAAGAACTTTCAATTCCTTCACAGGAATGGAAAGAGTAGTTTCAGGAAGTCCTTTGTCAGCAACGATGGCTAAAAGATTTTGCTCTTGCTATTAATATTACACTTGTTGATCCAGGTTTTGTAAAGAGAGTTTTTAGAAGATGAAAAGTTTAAAGTGTGAGTTGTGAAAGTAGTGGCAATGTGTGTGAGAAGTGAGTGGGAGTGGGTTCTAAATAGATTTTAAAAAATGAGAATTAAAGGTAAACATAGGCTAAACACACAATAATGACAGGGGAGGTGAAAGAATGATTTCAACCATTTTCAAGAAATAATGAATCTCAAAAGGTCGCATCAAATATATGGACGACTAAACGTAAGACACTTGTCTTACCATAGGTCCACATATCATGTTTGCTGTCAACCAGAAATCATCAACCCAAAATCTAGAAGACACAAAATCTCAGAAGACTTTTGACGAAACGACTCCTATACATACTTGTCATTTACCAAAAGTGTGAATGCTTCTGGCTGAAATCTCTAGAGGCATTTCTTCAGTCTAAGAGATGACATGATATGTATACATTTTGTTTTAATCACTTAGAATCAAACCTCTAGAGTGGAATATTTCTAAATGTTGACACGACACTTACTTCTGATTTTGATTGAACCTTTTAGAATTTTTTACTCCATCGGCGTTTGAATTTTTGTCAAATCTGTAGAATAATATCTAACTTTGATTTTTCAAGATCAACCTTAACAATAAACAATGGGGATTTGATTCATTGTCCATGTGAAATATCAATGTTATATATTCTTGATCTTTCAAGAGTATCTTAATATGTATGTTATAGAGCCTTTATAAATCAAAATTGTTAGTATAAAACAATTATATCAAGATGAATAGAAAATAATGAATACCTCATTTTGACTTCTTTTGTGCTGGTCAATAATGACTAGATAATATTATCTGTAGATTCATCTCTTGTAGTTGTTGTAAGCAAACTTCTGTCTCATCTTTTGTTGCTTTTGGGAGCCTTTTGTCATTTCTTTCAGAGTTACTAGAATGAGTTTGGATAGCGGAGACACATAATCTTATACTATAGAGATATCTTCAAGTATGACTTTATTATTGTTGATACCAGGTGAATGAGTAACTTCTAATGTGTTTTAAAAATTAGATCTTTTTTTGACACGATTAAGTGTTTGATGAAAATCAATAATAAAACGGGTGCTCCATACCAATTGAAGGTTCGGTGAAACACAAGAAATGAGGAGTTTGAATTGGGTTTCAATAATTTAATATTTCAAATCTCCCAAACAACAAACAATACTTAAGCACAAAGTAAATAACAATAATAAAAGACACATGTATTTTTATCATGGTTCATTGTTAGCTATGTTAGTCCAGTCTATCCACAGAGTGATTTTTCCTTGTCAATAAAAAATTAATCCAATAATCAATTTCATGATTACAACCACAAAGACTACCCACCAATGTCTTTTCAAGGATCCTGACTAAACCTTTACCCCCTTAAAGAAATACAACTCAAAGACAACCTGTCAATGCTATCTCAAATATTATAACTAAACTTAGTCACTCAAAGAAATCCTCAATAACAATTGTTATTGACTTCTCAAGAATTCTGACCTAACCTGGTTCCTTAAGGAAATCCTCAATAACAACTATTATTGACATCTCAAGATTTCTGATCAAACTTGGTCGCTCAAGAAAATTAACCAACTGGTTAAATATAAGATTTGTGTTATACATGATTCCTTCTACATAAAGAAGTTTACACAAATTTAAGTTTGAAAGACAACAATTAATAAGAATTTATAACATAAATCTTAGTATTTCGATCTTGTTGTTGAAGGTCTTCTCAACACCGACTCTTTTTTCTTGCTAAATCTTTTGTTTGCTTCCATTGCAGTGTGTTGATCTTCTTCGTTTGCTTAATATAACTCTTTGATACAAATCTTCTTGTGACCTCTTACATTCTTTTATGAAGTTTTACATTTTTTTTCTTTTTGTATGTGTCTTCTTTTTCTTTGAGACTTCTTCTTGTTTGATACTTTTTTCTTCTTCATGCAACTTCTTCTCTTTTTGATTTCTTGTTTTTCTGTATCTTATTTTCTCATGTCTATGTATTATCTACATTGTTGTCGCGTGCCCACAATTTCAATCTTTCAATTTCTCTTTTTATTATAGATAAAGAAATAAATTTTTTGGAGAAAGAGAGATTGAGTGTCCATACAACAAATAGATGTTAGAGACGTTAGCTAGAGTGAGAGTGGAGTGACAGTAACAACACTATGATAAGACATGTGAACAATAATTATATAATGTACAATTGTTTATCCTAATTTGTAGGGGTGAGTGATAGGATGTTGTACTATTGTCATGTGATGGACGATGTACTTTGATAATATTTTCTTAAAAACTTTCTTCTGATAGATTTTGGATGAAGCTTGATTAGAGTTCAAAGTCACTTCTTCTTCTACTTCTGTTTCACACTTAAGTTTTTGAATCATAGGCTTCTGATAGGTTGTGATGAAGCTTGATCAGAATTGATCTTCGAACTTTGAGATATCAGGTCGTAGATAGTTTAAAGTTCATCACAAATGTCTTCTGGATAGATTCTTGAAGATGCATTAACTTGATAACCCAGATTCTATAATTGATTTGCTACTTCTTCAAGATCTTTTTTCAGACTTTACCCCTTTGAATCAGAGACTTCTAATAAATAATGATGAAGCTTGTTCAGAGTTCAAAGTTAATCTCTTTTACATCATATTCAACTTGCTTCTGGTAACGCCAATCTTCAGATTTCGTCAGCCTTCAGATTATGTGGATCTTCCATATTCAACATGTGCTTAGCTTAGCATCTGGTGCAATTCAACTTTGGCTACTTTAGAGTCAAAGTTGCTTTCTTATATGTATCCGCACATTGAACAACCGTTAGAGAATCAAATATTTCTTCATATAAATGTACTTGTTATCATCAAAACTCAAAGGATTAGTTGACGAACCAAACTCGTTCCAACATCTTCGTCTAACCCTGACCTGCTCATTTTCACGTCTAGCCCTCTCACGTCGAACAAATGTGTGCTAGGTTTCACGGTCGAGTCTCAATCTGACAAGTTGTTTGCAGTCATTTTTTCTGGAAAAAAAAAACAGAAAATGACATTAATCTGCATCCAGGGCAAAATTAAAAAAACGACATTAATTTGCATCCAGGACAATTTTCGGATATGCATCTTCAAAAATCAGTCATGGCACATTTCGAAGATGCATATCTGAATAAGCTTGTGTTTCTCAACAATATTGCCCTAACCTACCAAAATGCAACCAAATGAGAATGAATGTCTCTAAGAGCTACCTATTTCAAACGTGACTACTACTTAATGCATTTAAAACAACCTATTTTACCTAATACATTAATCAAAATTAAAAAAAAAAATGAAATGAGAAACTTACTCAAAAAAGAGTTGTGGATGAAAGATGTTGAATGTTAGTGAAGTGAGTTGGGATTGGAAAACTTGAAGTAGAGGTAGTGTTTATCCTTGAAAAATGAACGGGAAGAAAGTTGCTCACGAACTCCAATGGAGGTTTGTAAAAGATTTAGAAAATGAAGGAGAAGAGGGTTTGCCCTCGCACCCAAATTTGAAAATAAAAGTTAATCTAGAGATGCATTGCAGACATACTCTAAAACACATACAGAAATACATCTCTGAATTAAATTTTAACAAAATGAGAGAAGCTCACCCTTTTGCACCTATTCTGTAAATAAACAATGCGTTCGCCAGAGTTTGGGAGAACCTATTTCTGCCCGAACAAAATTACCATAGTGATCAAATATATACATACCAAAATTAGTATTTTCAGTTGTTAGAAAAATCTTCATCAATATTATGTTTATAGAATCTCGTGGGAGGGTGCTTCCAACTATCCAAAAACATTTCGATCACTACTTTACATAACATCATTTTATTTTATTTTGCCATTATCAAATCACAAAGGAAATTATGACTATTTGATCCGCTACACACACACACACCTGATAATCCAGTAGCAGAATAACATCAATTTTTATCTGCAGAAACATTATGCATCATGCTACTTGGAGATTCAACGTCCAAACAGGATTATAAGTGTTAAGCAATGCAATTTAATCTGGATTAAGCCAAGTGGATACCCCGCATTCCACAAGTTACTCGGGCGACCTATCATATCAAGTACAACAACAAAAACTCAAGGCTGCACGATACATTTGAATGTTATAAAGCCACACTCAGCTACAATTATCATGCATTATATTTTCCCCAAAAGCATCTAAACTACTGCCTATTAACCATGAATCGTGTCTCATATTCTAAATCCTTCAGAACACAAACTGCCAGGTTGCAGTGCTCTCAGAAAAGGATTTGAACTCAGCCTCTCACTGCTGCTGCTCGTATATTTGCATGTAAGTTTCTGAAAGCGCGACCAAATGAGGGAGTGTTTCTGACACATGCAAATCCTGCATCTCATACCTGAAAAATCAAAGAGTTAGACCTTAAAATCGTTAACCGGGGAGTGATTAGAACACTAGCTATAAAACTTTTTCAAATACTCCATCTTAATTGGATGAAATCATGGGGGTCCCGCCACTTTATGAGGGACCTATATCTAAAATGGTGAGATCCACGTGAATTTCATCCAGTAAAAGAGTGAGTGATGAAAATAGATGTTCTTAAACACCAATCAGATTTATACATTTTCATACTATCAAAAAATATATTACCATAGTTCTTCTGATTTTCGTTGCACAAACGCCCTATAGGATCCTTCACCTGGTTTGCCATCATGAACAATATTTGCAATCAAATCATATTTAGTGCGCAATTTCTCATTTTCTCTTGGTGTTGGCAAGGGAATGTAATCCTTCAACTCCAAATTCTTCACAGGAAAGTTGACTGAAACAAACATTCACTGAATTAGGGTGAACTTAGAAATAAGTAGGCTGATATTAACTTGAATACATTACAGTTTTTTCAACATAAGTTCTCACCTAAAGTAGGATTCTTTTCCACAAAAAAATTGTTCTTTGTAAATCGCCGCATGTGAAGAATCATATACTTAGGCAGTCTGGTAACACGATATTGCATCCTTGCTATATGAGGACGGACCACCTCAGTGATAGTCTCACCGTCAAACTTCTTTAGTATGTTGAAGAGTGGAACCTAGAAACCAAGCCTTATCACCACTGATCGGTAAAGAAATTACTGACATTGACGTTTATTTGCAAAAATTTAAACAAATGCAGCATAACAAACCATATAAGTGATGACTATGTTCAAGCTCAAGTCTATTTCATTTGGTTTCAATAAAATAAAGTTGTTTTAACAACTTCATTGTCTAAAGGGAAGCAAAGAGCTATGCAGATCCATATGAAGTGTCTTGTTATATATATATATAAAGTGCTTATAGAAAAGATAGTAAAAGAGCAGACATGACACACTCCATCTAGCATGCAAAATAAACCATAAAATAACGTTTACTTTACTTGAAAAGAAAAAGAGTAAGAGATGCTGAGAAATCAAGAGAAATATTCACTAGAAACTAAAAAGGATGCATGATCGTGGACACTCAATTTGTCAAGTAAATATCACAGTTTTTTTAAGATGATTTGAAGTGATATGAAGTTACCAGTCTTGGTTTTACAACATCCTTCTTGGTATTCATATCCAAAGTCCAAACTATTCCAATTTATAAATGTATGATGTACAACCATTCCAATTTATAAATGTATGATGTACTATGTATCCAGTGGATATAATAGACAAAATAACAAGAATCAAGCTTCAATTTAGGGCCACTTCAATCCAAAATACATTGACTACAATATTTAATATGGGGCGAGAGCAAGTTTTTCCTCCCCCGTCCGGATTAGAAAATGCATATCCATCCCCATCCCGCCCATATATTTAGAAAAATAAAATTGAAAAGTTGTATTAGTTTTAATTAATATGATAAAATTATAAATACTACATCATAATAAAATAATATTGAAATGCAATTGTCTATTGAAAAGAGATTAAATTTTTACATAAATAAAGAACATTAATATGAATCAATAAATGTAAATAAAAATAATATAGTATAGTGATTTTTATTAGTGGGACGGGTTCGGGTCTTAACACCCCATCCCTTACCCTAACTTTAGAAATCGGGGAAAACCCAAACCCAGTCAAAGCAAAATTTCCCAGTCAAAATCGGGGAAGATTTGAGTGTGTATCCAGTTCGAGCCTCACAGTGAAGTCTATATGTAACAAGCAAAATAACAATTAGTGAAGTACCTGGGGTATTATATTTTTCTCCATCACATCCTTGAAAAGAGGAGGCGGCGGCAAGTCTAACCCTAACATTAGGAATGGCATTCTCAAAGTTTCTCTGAAGGGTGCATTTTCAATGTTAGGAATCTCTTTAACAACCTCAAGTTCACCCTGCGAGAACAGTAAATTTAATTTTTTAAAAACACAATGTAAGTGACTAGTTGCAACCAGATAGAATATATCAACAAAAAAATAACTAGCGTGAAAAGAAGAACCTGAAAACACTCGTAAATTATGCTCGTATTCTTTTTTGAAGTTTTAAGATCAGCATGCAGCGTATTAAGAAGCCATGATACAAACTCAACTGGGTCAGACTGCGCACCAATTCGAAATCGTTTTTTACTAGCTTTCATCACTGCTTGAAGAAATTCATGGGGACTGACCTGTTGATATGTATAAGGAAGGCGTAAAAAATTAAATACACACATGCGCACACATACACAATGACAGCATCAGACAAACCTGTCCTTTAAAGTTTCGTGCATGCCAGATCTTCCTTGTGAGTTCACCAAACCGATGAACAAGTGGAGATTTGCAGTGTTGATAGTTTTCAGGGATAAGAAAAAAATTCCTCAACGGGGTAATTCTCATTAAGGATTGAATTGTTACATTCACAAAATCAGTCTCCTTAATATTATTAAGTCCAACCTGAAATTTTTTCATATGATGGATAAATATAAGCCATAAGGCATCAACCTTGAAACTACAAGTCAACTAAAAGCAAAAATTTATTTTCCATATGAAAGAAGAAACATACCATTCCCGGAAGGTAACTAGAACCATCAAGTGCCCTGGACCACTGCTTATTTTTGTCAAGTTGTTCAACATCTTTTGCAGTAAACCTGCAGATTGATATCTTCTAGTAGTTAATCTTTAGAAAAGACCAACATAAACAAACAATAAAATAACCTATAAAAATAAGCCATAAGTAATGGAAGAGCTTTAAAGGTTTCTATGCAATTCTGAATTAAGAGGAAAACTGATCTACTGAAAGAGATCAAATGCATAACATACCCAAGTGGGTAACTGAATTCATTGAGCAAAAAACTGACACATTTGACGCAATGACCATAACCTAGAAAACAAATGCTATTAACTAAGTATATAATTAAGAGAAAAATTAATACTACTGACGACTTAAGAAACAGGCATAAGATAATTATTCCTCATGTAAAACATTTTTTCAGTACCTAAAATGGGATTCCAAGGTGGCCCAAACATCAATGATGATCCTCAACTACCCAATCCAAGGAGTTGTCAAAGGTTCTGTCCAGTCCATTATGGAGCAAACCGCATACACATAACACCGCTAAGAATTTAGTTTCACGCCTATCCAAAATGTGTGTCCAAACCATTAATCAAAGGCTACCCTGGGTGGAAACACTCTATTTTGGAAGGTCCATAGCTTGAATTGAGAAAATAATGGATACAAATTATTTATTTTTTCAGGGGAAGTAGGGGTACAAAGGAACAAAACTGTATGAGCCAATAGCAAACACAATACAACTATACATACATTGGACAAAAGATCAAAAACATAATAGTCACCAGCCAAACTATTTTTGCAGAATAGTGTGCAGCAAACAAAGCCAAATGATAAACTGGACGAACCTTGGGTTGAGGACATGCCGAATGTCGTCTAGTGAGGGATCATTAATTTCATAGCCATCGGGAAGACAGTATACTTTTTCAGTCTGGAGATTGATATAAACATGGTGTCCGGCTTCCAGACTATGCGTATAGGCATGAGATTTTTTCCCTCTCCCTTGGTAATACTTACCACAAACCAAACATGCATAGACATTTAAATTGGACAAAGAGACGGAACAGAACTTCTCAAAGTCAAAATCCAAAACCTACACACGAAATGAAATAAAAGTCAAATACACCACACATATGCAAACTAGCAAAACGCATATCTAAGATGGACCAAATGAATAAAATACCTGTCTATTTACAGTGTCCAGATAAGGACAGTCCTTCCGAACCTCCACCTGGCGACTTCTTCCACCAAATAGTTGTTCCTGTGAATCTTCTTCTTCATCACTATAATCATCCCCTTCATATTTGTGGCCATTCTGCTGAGACACACCATTCTTATTTTCACTAACAGCACCCTTTTCCCTCTGATAATAATGTTCCTCCTCATCGATGTCAGCATAGTTATTAGCCAACCCAGAAAGAGGATTTGCAATGGAGGCAGGAGGAGGAGAGGGGGAAGAGTCCTTATCAGCCCTTAGCCTTTTCGATTCAAAATCAAGCCCTTCCTCCTCTACCCTATTAACAGTTGCCCTTTCCCTTTTTGACGTCATGTTCTTTGATAAAAACACTTTGAAATCAACAACAAATACAACAAGCAAGGAGATGCTCCTACAAAAACAATGTTACGCGTAAGAATTATTGTAATCTATTGACGCTGAATCGAAATTAAAACTCTATTATGATTTAATATTAACTTAGTGAAGTAAAATGTTGTTGTAATAGTCAATATTTCGTAGTAAAGAATTCACACAGATACAAAGGTGAAATTAGGTCTCAAGTCACAACTCCGTTAAGATGCAACAAGACGACGCTAGGGCTTCATTTATGAACATGTTCAACACTTAAGCATTGATGTTAAAACAATTTATCTTGATTTCATAAATTAGGTATATAACTAATTCATCTTATACCACTGATTCACGACATGAGAGGGAGCAAATAGCATACGAAATCAGCGTGCAAGGAAGATGAAAACGAAACCTAACTCAAGAATGCATAAAAATCAAAGGAAAACTTACAGAGGAGAAGCAGAGAAACGGTGTGCGTGAGAGAATTGAGAAGCAGAGAAACGGTGTGCGTGAGAGAATTGAGAAACAGAGATAGCGGGAGGACGAGCAGCGACTGTGGGTGACTGGGGGTTGATTGAATCCTGATTTCGTTTCCAAAGAAAATTTCCAGGCTATGTGGGCTTTTTGTTATATGCGGCCCATTTATACTCTCCAGAGAAAAACCATTATAACGGTTTGGATATAAAACCAAATTACCAAAACCGGGTTCTGAGAAATTAATTTGGTTTAAGAAATAGAAAAGTGGTTACAACACAAAGGAAAATTAGGTTACAATAGTTTTCTTTTCTAACTCCACTTGCGTGTTGTCGCCGTTGTGGGTATAGATTATGTCGATGTTTACATCTATGTCCAGTGAACAACCTGCCACTGCTAACTAGGTTGTTTCTAACCACCACCACGGAATGAAATTCATCGACTCGAGCTTTGTCGTCTTGTAACCTCTGTTTTCTATATTGTTGTGAAATTAGATGCATTTGAAACAAAGTATCAAATATTTATTTATGATCAATAAACAAACATGATAGAAAAGATGGAAGAATATGAAGAACAACAAGGAATTGGTTATAACTATTATTCTTTACTTTCTCTTAAAACAATATTACAAGTGTTACAAGAATAACAAATAATCTCTCTCACCCTAAATTAGGATTTTTTTTTGTGTACAGTGATGAGAGACTAGTATGTTATTTATAATAAACCTAACATATCAAACTAATGGGTTTTTTCACAAATACCCATTACAAGCTAACTTAGGGTACAAGCTAACTTAAATAATTGGACATAACAAAAAGGCCCAATTCGACATTGCTAACAACCCTAACATTTTTTACAACTACATGCTTGACCATACTTTGACTACAACATACACTACTTTGACACCAGCGTGTGAGCGATCTTCGACTGCATGTTAACCTCTGTCGAACTTGTCGAACCACAAAGCTACCATTCGACTCAATAGAGTTCGATCCAATATCTCACAAATCTCCATCTTAGAACAAACTCTAACATCAAAGAACAAACTAGTTTTCTTCACACAGTTTTATCAACGGCATACAGTGGAAAAACTTGCAACTTGGCAATGTCTTGGTGATTATATTAGCAGCATTGTGATCTTTCAAAACCTTCATCATTTGGACTTCTCCACGCTCGATTTCCCCTCTGACGAAATGCAGTCTCACATTGATTTGTTTGGTTCGCTCATGATAGGTTGAGTTCTTTTACGGGTGTTGGCTCCTAAATTCGACACCCTTGTTTTTATTAATATCAGTCACTAAAGCTGAAGGATGTTTTCGACCAGCTGGCTCTGTCGAAATGCCCATCAGAAGATGGCAATGTACTTAGAGGATTTCTTCCAAGGGAGAATTTGGTTGCCTTCGACGTCGAAGGTGTGGCTCGTCGAAGATGCCTCTCGACGAAGGCGTTCGATTGTTCAGAGTGGAACGGTTTGAAATTCAAGCGTTTGGAGGGAAAACGGTTTCCAGCGGTTACCAAGTACAACGTGCAAAGATCTGGAGCGTCGAACGTTGAGAACGTGCCAAGTGGAGTCATCTCGAAGCAGTGTAACTGCCCGACGGTTACTTGGGATGTTTTAGTATAAATATTAGTAGTTCACGCAGTTTTTCGCGTGTGTTCACAATTATATACAAAGTCACTCATATAGATTCGAGTACCCAGCGTGTGAGAAAGAATTGTTGAGAATGTATGTGTGAAACACCACTTTTATTAATCAAAGTCATTTACTTTCCAGAAACTTTACTTGTTTTCTCCTTTACTTTTCCTGTCGAAAACCTTTATTTCAAGCCTTCCTTTATTTTATCAAGTTCTCTTCTTCATGCAATTTACATAAAGCTTCTTTATTTTCTTGTCATTTAACAATTGTCAAACTTAACCAAAACCCCAAAATCAACCATGTCTTAGGATCAATCTGATCGATCCTGCGAGTAACCAAATAAGTAACCATTTGGAAGATCAGCGGTTGTTTACCAAAACCAACGGTAAACAAATTGGCACACCCGGTGGGACTGTATGTTGATTTTGAAGTTTAATCTGTTTACACGAAATATCGTTCTTTTTCGAGGAGTGTTGTATGTTATTGAGAAGTGGTAGAATATACAATAACAATACCAATACTGCCAGAAGAAGAGAAGAGATGGCGAATCCGCCAAACAATAACGAAATCCCACAAACGAATGTGGGATCAACGGTTATCCCAACCGTAAGTGAAGCGATAACCGCTGGTTCAACACCAGCAGTAACGATCACAACAACGGGGCCATTACCTCCGTTCACTGGCCCCAGAGTGCCTTTGGGAACCCCCCCCCCCCCCCCCCCACCAAGGGGAAATTTAGGCACAAGGCCTTATGTTCCCCCAGGATTTATGACAGGCGGTCATAATCGAGAACCACTCTATGGCATGCCAACGTCTGATTTGGCTAGCCTAACGAACGTTGCGTCCACTTTTTCAGACCCTTTAGTGAGTGCCTCTTCGCCACTCCAAGGTTCTGGAGTAGGTATGGCGAATAGAAATAGGACCCAACTCTTAGGAGGAACGTCCCAAGTAGCACATGGCCTTACAAATGCCTCGACAGCAGTCTTGAGGCAACAAATGGACGAAAGCAACCATGATATGGTTCAAATGTTGGCACAAACTTTAAGTACAGTGCTGAATCCTCTAATACAAAACACCACCCAATCGAATCAGCAAATGACGGTGCAAATGACGCGTTTGGCTGATTTCTTTGGAGTACCCCAACCTATTCGACAGCCCCAAAGGGCGCAGATAAGGGGAAACCAAGGTATATTCTTAGAGGAAGAAACCACTATCAATCAAGGCCAGCAACCTGTCGAAGAAAACCTTAGGGCACGATTGGAACAGCCTGTCGAAGAACCTAGGGTTATAACCCCAGAGGTAAGGTTAGTTAACAGAAACCAAAATGCTGACGAAGTAGTTCAGCATGTCCAATACCAAAACATGGGTTTGGAAAATAATATGACAACCATGATCGAAAGAATCATGACGCAAAATGGGATGAACATGGGCTTTCGTAGGCCCAATTTCACATCCCCACTGTCAGAATACGTGTTACAGACAGACTTACCTCCTAGATGTAAAGTCCCTAAGTTCACTAAATTCTCTGGGGACACGACAGAGTCTACTGTCGAACATGTGGCGAGATACTTAATCGAAGCGGGAGATATTTCAAATAACGAAAACCTGAGGATTAAGTACTTCCCAAGTTCTTTAACAAAGAACGCTTTTACTTGGTTTACAACTCTTCCCCCCAATTCGATCCATCATTGGACCCAGTTGGAGAGATTGTTACATGAGTAATTCTACATGGGACAAACCAAGATAAGCCTGAAAGAATTGGCCAGTGTGAAGAGGCGTTTCACTGAACCTATAGACGAATATCTAAATAGGTTTAGGTTGCTCAAAGCGAGATGTTTTACACAAGTGCCAGAACATGAGTTAGTCGAAATAGCAGCAGGCGGCTTAGATTATTCCATTAGGAAGAAGTTAGACACTCAATACCTGAGAGACATGGCCCAACTGGCCGATAGAGTTCGACAGGTCGAACGCCTTAAAGCTGAGAAAGCCAAGGCAACGAAAACTCATAAAAGAGAGAGGATAGTGTATGTTGAGATGGATGACGAAGATCCAGAAACCTTCGACGAAACTATAATTGTCGAAGAAGGCGAAGTCGATTTAGCGGAACTAAAACAAGGACCACCATATTCTTGCAAGCTGTTAGTCCCCTCAAGTGGAAAAAATCCCACTGGTCCAGAAAGGACCAACGATAGGTTCCCCAAAAAGACTTATAGTTTTGATATTACAAAATGTGATGAGATCTTTGACTTGCTTGTAAAAGATGGCCAAATGATAGTACCCCCAGGGGTAAAAGTACCTCCTCTTGATCAAAGAAAGAAGAGAGGTTTTTTTAAATATCATAATTTTCTGGGCCATAAAACGTCTCAATGTTTTCTTTTCAGGAATCTTGTGCAAGACGCTATCGAAGAAGGGAGGTTGAAGTTTGCTGACAAGACCCCCATGACTGTGGACTCTAATCCGTTGCAGGCTGAAGCCCATTATGCTGAACCTTCAGAGGTGAACATGATCGAGGCATCCAGAAGCCAGTCGAAGAGGCCAGGAATCACAATGGTCGAAGTCTCAAAGGACCATGTCAACATGCCAATCTTTGGCAGTTTTTCTGGGAATCTATCCAGAAAGACAATTGAAGCGGTTCAGAAAGCGGTCGAAAGCCCAAAGCTGGAGACAGTTGGAACCCAAAAATCTGGAACAAAACCCAGTTCTCACTTGGCCGCAGTTCAAGGCCAAACAGAGGGCTTGGAGATTCAAATGAAGCAGTTGACTCTTGCCAACAAAGATACCATGAATGTCAACATGGTCGAAGTCTCTGAACCAAAAGCATCAGAGGAGGCCATGAGGCAAGAACAAGCTAACAAAACTGCTTTCCCTCGGGAAAATGAAAATCTGGCAGATTTTCTACAGAGATGCCAGAAAAAGAAGTCAGAAGTAATGATGTGTCCCAGATGCAGTTCGATCTTCGACAAAAAAGCTGCTGAACATATTCAAGGTGTTAGAGCAGCAAATAAGAGAAGGGAAAGTGTTGATCTTCGACATGATCCCAGAAGAGCCTCCCAAAGAGGTTCAAACCAAGAAAAGAGGCCAATGACTTTCAGGCCTCCAACTAATGTGCCTGTAGATACATGGTACAAAACATCTGGTCGAAAGAGGCCAAGCGAGGAAAGATGACACTCCTTTGATGTGCCAAGAGGTTCATCTTTAACACAGAAGAAAGAGCCTCATGTTGCTGCCCCTAAAGTGACACAGGTGTCAAGCAACTACAAAGGGAAAAATCCCATGTCTCGATCTCAATGGAGGAGATACCAGAGGCGTCGAAAAGCTGAGAGGGAGGCTGCTAATGAACCAAAGGCAGAGACCAGTTCAAATGTGCCCCAAAGAAAGCAAAGGAAACCTCTGGAAAGAGAACCAGTAACCAATAGGCTAGTTTGGCCTAACCAAGGTGAAGTTGAAGACGAAGATGGTTCTGAGTCTGATGACACTTTGGACATCATGGTGAATATAGTCTCAGTGCTGCCCAGAGAGTTCAACCGCCAGGTGGAGGTCGAAACAAGCGATTGGGAAGTGGAGCAAGAAACGGCCAAACATAGGCCAATGTGCTATTTCGTCATGGATAATGGCACTACTGAGGAGCAAAATGGGTTCTTCGAACCACCTACAGAGGCGATGAAAAATCACCTCAAGCCTTTATTTATAAGGGCTAAACTCGAAGAAACCACAGTGAATAAAATCTTGGTAGATTGTGGGGCAACCATCAACATTATTCCTCACTTTATGCTAAGGAAAATAGGCAAAAGTGATGAGAATATCAAGCCTCACAACATGGTCTTGTCGAACTATGAAGGCAGCATAGGGACCACTATGGGAGTG